ACGTTTCAACTAAGGTACTATTGGCCCAACACGAAAAATTCTATAAACGCATTAATCAATTCCTGCGAGACCTGCAATTTAGCTAAATACGATAGAAATCCTTACAAACCACCGTATGAAGGGCCGCTAACTGCAAAATTCCCGTTCGAAATTATTCACGTTGATACTTTCAAAATTGATAGCAACAAGTTTTCCCAATTTTGGATTTATTTTCTAAATATGGTCAGGCCTATCATATTACTGATGAGAATTCAATAACTTTGCTTGAAAAACTACGTAATTTTATCAGCCATCATGGAATTCCTGTAAAAATAACATGTGATAACGGAGCCGGATTCACAGCCAGAACTTTCAAAGAATTCTGCGAGTTACATAAAATCAAAGTCCATTTTACCACTCCTGAGAATCCTTCATCTAATTCTCCCGTTGAGAGGTTCCACAGTACCCTTAAAGAAAAATTAATTGCTTTAAGGCTTCAAAACCAGAGAACAGATATAAAGGAGCTCATGGTGACCGCGATTTTGAATTATAATCGAAGTGTCCATAGTTCAACGAATTTTTCTCCACACTCACTCATCTATACTCCTTTCAACAGAACAAATGTATCGTATCGAATTAAGTAAGGACGTATATGAACAATACCACCAAAAGCGTGTTGACGAGCTCAAACTATTATATCAGTCGGTAAGCGATAAATGTAAGGAAAAAGCTGAAAAGGTTCTCCGAAAGAGAAACGAAAATCGCACTGAACGACCGGAAATTCCAGAAGAGACTACGGTTTTTGTCAAGTCGAGACAAAGGACTACGAAAATCAACCCCAGACAGGTGAAATCCAAAGTTAGAAATCAGAAAGGCAATACCTTGCGGTTACAGACTTTAAGCAAAAAAACAGTTCTCATCAGAAGGAATTTGCGTCAGATTAAAAAAGTAAAAAAGGGTTTTTCTTCACAGGGCAATCCTATGGCCGCAGAGTCTTCCGCTGAGGCTTCATCAAGTCCCAACCAATAAGGGTTTCTACCCGGAGCCGTTGGGGGACGCAAAATTAATAAGCCATTATCATACGTTTATTTTTAGCCATAATCTCAGCTCAGTAGCTGATGTTATTAGACAGAAGTTACTTATAATATTGTAGTAAACCGTTCTAATGATATCAACCTCAAACCGGTACTAGAGGAGCTATACAAAAATGTTAATAATGTAAAAATGGAATATTTAAAATTATCACCTCATCATTCACACAGTAGAACGCGTCGAGCAATTATTAACGGATTTGGCAGCATAATTAGGTGTGACAGGAAATTTAGATCAAGATGACCTTACAGAAATCAACGATAAATTTCAATCATTAAAAGACAAGGAAAACGAACTTATAATAGCCATCAATAATCAAAAATCATTCGCTCAGCTCATTTCACAAAAATTTGAGAACGATATGAAAGTCATTCAAAACAATGTACAATTGCTATCAGAAACTGTCAAGAAGTCAATTTATGATTACGAATATGAAAGTTCGATTTTTAGACTATTTATTCCTTTACGAGAAATTTTAGATTATCTCAGACTGATCCAAGGCACAATATCCTTATCACAGAAACAGATGACAAATGTAGCTAGTTTTAGTCTTAAGGAACTGACCCATATTGAAAATTACCTAAGATCTATTTATTCGAAGAAAAATTTGGTTTTGTTAGATGAAACTCACCCTTTCGAAGTTCTTAGCCTGAGCAGAACTGGTGTTATTTATACCGATGATATTCTTCTATGTGCAGTTGAAATACCAATTCTAGATGCCACTAAGTATCAATTATCAAAGTTATATCCTTTATTGACCAGTAACACAATGTTAGTACTTTTTCAACATGAACATTTTCTGCACAATGAGGTATCGATTAAAAGTTGTCCTAATCAATGTAAAAAATTCATGAATCGATTTATTTGTGAATCTGCAACCAATCAAAAATGCACGCCGCGATCAGTTGACCATTGTAATATTGTAAAGGCCAGGAATTCTTTAAGTTTATCATATTTGCTTGAGAATACTGCAGCTGTATTATTTTCGAGTAACATCAAGGTCACCGTTTTCGAAAAATGTGATGGAGAAATCAAGCCTTTCACTTTAATTGGTAACTATACTAAGTGACATATAAATCCGAACATCCAGTTTAAATGGTTTTATTTTAATAAAATTTTGTATAAGTACTTAATGCAGCATAATAGGTAAATGATAAAAATTTCAAAATGATTGCACTGCTTTAAAGCCCTTTGACCTTTAATAATGTGTGGATGCACCCTGATGTGCTACGCATTCTCCAACGCGCCTAGGCATGCTTCTGATCAGGTGGTCAATGTCCTCCTGTGGTATCTCATTCCAGGCAACTACCAACTCCTCTCGAAGTGCTTCTAGAGTCTGAGGAGGACGTTGCAAATTGAACAATCTCCTACCCATCATATCCCACACGTGCTCAATTGGGGATAAGTCGGGAGATCTTGGTTATGTTGAAGGAAGTCTATTGTGACTCTTGCAACATGTGGTCGGGCATTATCTTGATGGAAAGTTGGATCTGCCAGGGTGTCACGATAGGGTAAAAGATGGGGTTCTAGAACTTCGTGGATATAACGCTGCGCATTCATGTTACCTCTGATGAAGATTAAAGGTGATCTGGAACCATAAGCTATAGCACCCCAAACCATAACTCCAACAGTGTGATGAACATGTCCTTCAACAAAAAACTGTGGATTCCTTCTTTCACCACGTCGCCTTCTAACCCTGGCACGACCATTGTGCATGCCTAAACAAAATCGAGACTCGTCACTAAAGACAATACTGTTCCATTCCTGATCCCAGAGTGACCGTTGTCTGCACCACTCAAGGCGATTACGTCGGTGTTCTCGAGTTAAAGGGAGGACCCAGTGTGGCCGGTATGAAAACAAGCCAAAACTTCTCATTCGTCGGTAAACACTTCGCATGTCAATAGGTCTTCCGTGTTCTGCAAACCATTCATTTGCAATGGAGAAACGATCCCTTAAGGCCAATAATCTTAGGCGGCGATCTTCACGGTCTGTTGTTCTACGGCGGCGTCCAGTGCCCCTTGGTCTTTGCGTACGGAATTCTCGAAGCCACGCCTGACAACACCTAACCACAGTGTCTACACTTCTTTGCACTCTAACTGCAATTGCCCGAAAAGAAAGTCCAGCTTCCCGAAGTCCCACTATACGGCCCCTATCAAACTCACTAGGTTGACGAAATCGTACAGGTATCCGTACTCTAGGCATCGTAACCGATCGCAAAGGATGTCAAGAACCAAAATCCGCCAACGTTGATTCTTTACTGCGGCTGAAATATTCATTTTTAGAGCGTCAGTGAATTAAAAAAAGCAGTATAAAAACCGGAATGTCCAACTGATAAGGCTGAAAATTTTTTCACTTGTTATTTACAGTAAGATAAATACATTCACCAACTTTTATTCAAATAAAACCATTTAAACTGGGTGTTCGGATTTATATGTCACTTAGTATATATTGTTATGAGTAACTGCACACTGGTTATAAACGATGTTTCATATGTCCTTCGGGACACTATTATCTCAGTGGAGGCCTTAGATTTTAATACTCCCAATCTTACATTGGGGCCAACGCACACGATAGATGGTTTCCACATTAATAGCAAGGATTTTTTAGATATTAAGGAAAATTTGCACAAGATGAAAGAAATTATACCAGTTAAGTTTAAAAATTACCATTCTCATGTAAATAGCATTCTTATAATAGGTGTATTTGTTGTTATATTGTTTGTGCTTGTGGTAAAATTAAAAAAGTTCTGTAAAGAGAAAAAATCATCTCGAAAGTCAAATCAGTCTATTGAGATCGATAAGAACGAGGACGTTCTAAGAGTCTAAGGGGGGGGGGGGAGTTATATCCATCATCACCCTGTATTTTATATAATATTATAATTATTACCTGGTACTTGTATTTCTTGCTAGCATTGTCGCTACGCTATGGAATCTTATCTCGCGCCTTGAAGGTCACATGTTAACATCCTCTGTATCAGCATATTATATTTCTACTGCATCGTACTAAATCCATGTGTGAGGAAATCTTGTCACTTCTTGTCTAACCGTCCTATTGTACGCATCGTCGTGAAAAGGTTTCACAAAAGTCCTTTTGTACCGTTAACCAAAATAAAGTTTTTTTTAAAAACAAGTATTTCGGTGGCAGTAATTTAACTTGCATGGGCAATGTCAAGTTAAATTTTGTGAACAATGAAAAAACAATGTTCGGAGATCGCCAATATGGTCTTATAATTTCTTTGCCCATTTGTGTGAAACTTAGAAGTTACTACTCGTATGATTCCGATATAATTGACTGAAGGCGTACCAGTTTATTCTACATACCTTTCTGATCGAAAGTTTAGGCTGGCGAAGAATTCTAGTATCCCCGGTTTACGTGTTACAGGGTTTACAAGTGTAATAAAGTCTAAGAAATCAATGGTATGATTGTACGACCTTTTTGAAATGTCATTCCAATCCAATCGATTAAATATTGATTATTTGAAGCATTTACGACAAAAGTTACAGTAGTGTACGAGTATGACCCTTTTCTTTATGACTTGTACACCCTGCAGCTCTGAACACTCTAGAGCAAGAAGGAACCTTGTCAGCCAATTTGACAGCGGCATGGGTAATATGTAAAAATCGTACATAATAATCAAATTCAAGCGAATAACCAAATGGAAACGGTATTTACCATTCTGGATTGGTATTTACCGATCCGTTCAAGCGAGTGTAGTTATCAGTTTGGTTATAAGATCCGTGACGTTTTATATTTCTGGTTATTATTTGAAATGTGACAAGTTAGAATTTTTGCAGGTATTGGATATTTTCGTCGTACTTGTGAGGTTATATGCGCGTTTAAAATAGCAGTTTTGCAAGGTTTGCAGTTCCTTATTAAATTGAAAATAATATGGAGCAATTTTATCTAACTTTAAACTATGAAGGCGTAGACTACGAGGTTTGCGTTAAAGACCTTGAAACAGCCAATTTACTTTTGAATGGTAACTATATAGTATGATAAGCAAGGAATAGTTTATTGTATACCTTGTAGAAAAAGCCTGATATTTATGGGGTATTTAAGTATTAAAGAGGTGGGGTGCAAGGTAAATCTGACCCTATTGATTCTAGATACCTACATATTATGTGACTTTTTCTACATGGTATGCACACATTCAATAATAAATTCTGTATCAGAACTGGATATCTCTCATACTTTGCTTTAAGATTTATCACTTATGAGAGTGGCATATTTTTTATATTCAAATAGGTTTGGCATGAAATTTTAGATGCTGCTGCTGCAGAGCAATATATTTTATCTATGTGTCCATTGGGGTCTCAGCATGAGCACAATGACTCCGAAAATCAACCTCAGAATGATTTTCAATCTATGTGGTCTATGCCCCACAATGAAAATGACTCGACCATTCAACCATCTATTAATGATATGATTTGGACAAAGAAGAAGCCTTCTGAAATGGATAATGAAGCAACTCATTTAATGTTGTCCTTAAGAGAGGAAAAAAGTACTTACTTTGACGACAAAAGAACCAGAAAACTTAAATTGTGGAATGACATAGCAAAAGAGTTAGAGGAAAATAATTTCCATCTTGGGAACAAAGGAGGAGAGCGGTGTCGTCAAAAGTTTGCGAATTTGCAAAAAACTTATTTATCTTACATGCAGCATCAAACTACAACAGGAAGTGAGAGAATTGATGACATTCCTCCATTTTTTGATGAGCTCCACTCCATTCTAGGTTAGTTTAATATCTTCTTTTACTTTCACATTACTATCTTAAGCAAGTATGTAGTATTATTATTTTAATTTTTCTTCTGTCATGTTTGTAATCATAAAAATTCTGGTATGAACCATCAAAAAACAAAAATGTGTACCTTTAGATTCCTTAGTAAAAACAGGTGGAAGTACTTACCAATATAATTTTTACGATGCAAACATAAGGTAACCCCACTGAATCTAGAGGATTCAATGGATGAAACATCAGAAAGTGTGAAAAATGAAATAGAACAGCAACAACCAGATCATACAGATTCAGAGGAAACTCAATTGGGTCCCCCAACAACAACACCAGTTAGCCGATTTAAAAAAACTCGAAAGGTAACACCGTCTCGGCATGATGACCTGATAAGAGAAATGGAAAAGGATAGAAAAATAAGAAGTGAAGAATTTAGTTTTTTGAAAGAACATTTGAAGAAAACAGAACAACAAAAGGACAGGTTCTTAGAAATTGTTGAGGCAGCTTTTGGGACAAAAAAAAGAAGAAAGAGTGATACAAACGATTCTGACACTGACTAGGATTATCATCGATTAATATTTATTTCTTTTTGTTTTTATTTAAGGTTTTTAAATTGTGTAATAAATAGTTTCTTGTTCTAATATTTTAGTTTTATTCAAGGAAGAAGTTTATTTCAAGGTAGAAGTCAATCCATCCATAAAAAAAGGTAATATACCTTTTGTGATAACTAACAAACCCTGTGTATAGAATAATAATTAAGTTAAAATGAAAGTAGAGATAAGTAAATTAAAATGCAAACCAATAATTGTGTTTTTTATTCAATTTGAATTGAAAGATGGTACAATAATATTATTCTATGTTATATCTGCATAAGGATAAAGTGTCTGCAATTCTATTTCTTTTCTGCTTTGCTTCTATGTTACCCCTATCTTCTAGTTCAGCCTGATTTATATTTCTGTCCAGGTCAATTCCAAAAAAATCGTTACTCCAGGTATCTTTATGCAAAATGCAAAAATTGTGTAGAACACATGCAGCTGTTGCAATCTCCACTGCTTTGCAAATGTTATAGGTATTTATATGTTGCACCCTTCTCCACCTACCCTTATATGCCCCAAAACAATGTTCAATTTTTACTCTGTGGGAACTAAGACAGTAATTGTGAAATTTTTGCTTTCTGGTCACATTGTCGCCTCGGTAAGGAGTAATAAGCCAAGTTCTTAATGCAAATGCACTTTCACCAATTAGGTGAGATTTCTGAGTATCCAAAAAGTAGAAGTTGGCCCATGTCTCTCAATGTTTTTGCACGTAATTGAATTTTCAAAAACCTGAAATTAAAGTATAAAAATATAAAAAAATATTAATGTTTTCCTACAATGTGTTGTGTACCAAAATTTAACTGGTGCAAAGCTTTTTTCACTTCCTCTTAAGTACTAGTTTGAAGTTTTATTGCAATGTAATAAATATTCACTGCAAAATGAGGCGTTTTCTTATTTTTGTTAACACATACCCGTGAGTCATGAGCAGATCCAGGATAACCTAAAAACACATAGGTGAATAAAGTGTTAGAATCACATATTGCCATGAGATTTATAGATGTTCTTCTATAGCGGTCTATGTAGCTATCTTGTTGACTTTTTTCAACCTTTACAAATATGTGGGTACCATCTACTGCTCCAATAACTCCTGAAAATAATAATAAACTGAAAAGTGGAAACAGATGTAACTTATTAACTAAATACATATGTATATTCCAATAAATACTATTACAGGACATGTTGTGATGGCATCAATTAGGACCAACCAAAAAAGTTTGAATATAATATCTATACAGTAATTGTACTAAATACCTATTTGTCTCTAAAACATTAATGACTAGGCCTTACGTGAGGGGGAAACCACCAAGGCAATATTGACCGGTTTCTAGGGAAATATAGAGTAACAATAGGGAAGTAATTGTGTGAAGTGCAGGGGGCGGTATCACCCTAGGTTTGCAGTATTCAGAAACGTTTACTTACCTGGATACTTCTTGAAACCTTCACGAATGTCTCTCATTTCAGCTTCATTTTTGGGAAACTTAATGTAGGCTGATTTTAGTTTTAACATGAAGTAGAGCACCTTATTTGTTATACTCATCACTGTTGTTGGGGACACTTTAAATCTAGTTCCTATGCTTAACAAAGTATCCTGTGTAGCCATATACCACAAGAATATTAAAATATGACCATATAAACTCACTGGATAGTGACCACCTGTATATGGCTTTGCTAATATCTTTTTTTCGTCGCTTTTTCCTATCTTTTCTGCTAAATCAATAAATGTTTTCTTTGACATAGGGAAAAGTTTAAAGAACTGGAAGTTCTCATAGCTACAAATCCATGGTTCCACCATTAAAATTTTGGGCGTCATATCCTTTATATTCACGACAAACTTGTGTGAACATAAGAGTGATTTTCTCAAGTGAATCAACAAAAGAAAAATATCTTCTGAGGAAAAAACATTTCTCCCATTAATATCATGAAAGTTTTCTTTTTTAAACTTTCCATATCACTGTTGTAGACGCACTGATTATTAAGTGATAATAAAAATAATCAGAAATTAGGTATAATATACCCGCTTTTCTAAAATAAACAATCTGCAACAAAACCGCGGTTAAAACCAACGCGTTCAAGCGATTCAAGTAACTGACGTCATCAACCCGTGTGTCATCTTGAACCATACTATAACCGCGGTACATAACACAGAAATTTTGGTTGTTCGCTTGGATTTGATTAATGTCAAAGAAGACCTACATAATGTCAACATGTTTCATAGGTAGCGGTAGCACAGCGAATACAAGTCACAGCTTAGGCCAGAAGGTATAATAGTACCATATCTGAATCAGAAGCTATATCGCATCAGATCCAAACCGTATAGCTCAAGGATCATTGTGTTTAAGCAATACGCACAGCTACTACGAGTGGGCATGAAGCAACAACAGCTGGTCTCAAGTTGATGTATACATATATTTAGGAAATCCTACATAATGTCACAAAAATTCCACGAAATACCAAATAAACCCAACTAATGTCAATTTTCAAGTTACGTAATATATACTAACTACAACCGTACAAATATAATATCTAGGTGTATCTAGGCATCACCGCTGCTTTGAAACTGAATGCAGTTAGGCATCAGTCACCTGATCAATCAACAAAACAACCAACATCAAACGACCGTTGAGTTCTCATAGAATTTGGTACGAAAAAATATAAAATTGCGCCAAGAACTGTTAATATTCAGTATATGGATTGGAATAGAATTTCAAATCGACGGTCAACAAACTATAAGATCATACAGAACGGCTTTATTACCCTTACACACAAGGTAGCTCTCAAACATAATCTTCTCCCTATTTAGACCACGATTATTTTCTCTAGCAATGTCTTAAAAATAAACAATGTGTTCAAATGCTGGCTAATATCTAGCAAATAGGAAAATCGTTTAGGGATGACAAATAAGGGGTGGGGGTTGCAGGAGGTTGTATCGCAATTTTTTGATGTTAGTATATTAATACACTTCCAACCCTGATAATTCTACGCACCTGTTAGACATATTTTAAACATCGTAGATTTGCCCTTAAAACTGGAACGATAGAAAAATGTTTCGGACAAGCGTCCCTGCATCGGCTGACTAAATGACAGCTGCCAGCGTGGCCGCGATTGTATACAAGGTGACCCATCGAAAAGCTCGCACCCCCATTTGTGACTCTCTTGGTATATTTTGTACTCGTTTTGTAGCCGTACAATACAAGGTGGTCTAAAAATAAGATATTACGTTACATTTTAAATTTTTGAATGGAAACCCCCCATTTTTCTTAATTTTCAGATTTTACATGAAGTTTTTAGTAACTTTTGTATAATAAAGCTAATACCTACCTTTACTCGTTATTTATCCTGACAGTAGGGATGTACGATCCGATCCGATATTTAAAAGTATCGATACTTTTGCTTCCGATACCCGATATCTTGGACATTGTCACCTTTCGATCCGGTATGTCAGAAAGAGTGAGTAACTTCAGGTTACTTTTCTTCTTTCTTTCCTTCCGCTGATGCTTCACGACCTCACATAATTTATTTTGGATTCCAGGGTTGCCACATTAGGGGGTTTTCCGGAAAAATTAGACAATTTTTATTTGAATGGGAAGATTTTGGGGATATGTTTTCCTGGGGATTTCCTTGGTGGAAACATATTTTACTGGGAAGGTATTATTATTTAAATTTTATTATTTATATTTCATAATGTGTCTGTTATGTACGTACTTGTCTTTCGATTCGAAACAAATACTTCTACCTTTTGCGGTATTTATCGACATACGAAAAATAAGTCGCTCAAAAAGATATTTTAGTATCCAAGAATACCTAACAAATTGTAAACCTGTGGCAACAAAATATAAATGTTATTTCTGGGTATTTTCTTGAAAAGTCCCGAATTTAGGGAATTATTACATTTCGTCTGGGAAAACTGAGGTAAACGACCTGGCAACTCTGTTGGATTCGGTTTCGGGGAATTATACACACATGACACACACTGTTTTTAGTATTAATTGATGAAACATAATTTAAAACAAAACATTATTGTGATAGAGATGCCTCCTGAAAGAAGTGATTTGTGGGGCTATTTTGTAAAATCCAGTTTATGCGGGAGGTAATTTATGCAATTATGAGGTTTTTACCTATTCTTGTTAGTTGAACGTATTTGACAATCTAGTCTTGCAGTTTAAAAAATTAAACATTATTTTGAGGATTGTAGTAAAACAACTTTTTGGTAGTGTATGTTCCGTATAGAAAGGCATCGATTGTTATGACATCGATCATTTTATTCCCATACTTTAGATTATCGATCCTCCCTAAAACGATAAAAATCCATACATATCGATACTTTTCGTGGATCGAAACATCTTTGATCTTGACAGCTTGTCATTCTTGTCAACTGGGCGGGCGGGTTGCGGTGTTGCCTTTACTATTTCACATTTTGCTAAAATCATATGAAAAATAGAAGCTTCAAATGAAATATTGACGGATATGAATGGGTATGCATAGAATCTAGAACATAAATTTATAATGCAGGTTTTACATTGTCTCTGCATGGACTTGAAAATATTTACCGAATACGCAATTTTCCACAATTTAAAAAAGTTTATTTTATGTAGTCTTTGTAGTACATACGCATACACACTCAGGCAGTCGGGCACATAAGAGGCGTAGATTTGGGTTGCCTATGATTACGAACGCACATCCTATTCCTCATCCCTCACTCCGCTTGCCCTAAATTGTTTTTTGTGCGTACAAAAGGTACAGACTGGTAGATTACCAACATTACTGCATCACCGGACAAGCAACAGAGAAACCAAAACCCGTCTGTTTATATAATATTTAATCAAAATGTGAGGTAGGTCATGAGTTCAGCTGTAAAACAGAAGAATATTCACAATCGTATAAGCAAGAATCGAAAAAGGACTTTCCAGAACGTTTCTACATTGTACAAGCTGTAATATAGATCTATGCCATCAAAAAACATGTTG